CCCTTTCCACCCCACCCTCCCTCCACCCTCCTGGTATCACCACTCTCATCACTGGTCCTGAGGGGATCATCCATCCTGGATTCCCTGTGTTTCCAGTTCCTGTCTGTGCCAGTGACACGTTTTAATGTGTCTTCCTGCAAACCTGACCCCACATTCTCCTTCGTATACGGTCCAGATTCTCTGATTGTTTGCTCAGCACGCTGACTGAGTATGGATGGTGACAGGACACAGCCCTGAAGCGTTTGCCTGACTGAAAACCATGTAGTCTTCCCTTGCCTCTTGGTCTATGTACAGGTTCTGCAGGAACACGATTAACGTTCTAGAATTCCCATCGCTCTAAGCCTCATTTTTGTGTTTTTTTTTTCCCAACAAGAAAATAGACTAGTAATTTCCCCTTCATGGTGCCCGGCCTACAGTAAGAGCGCGATAAATAGGTTTTGTTATAATTACTATTATCGTCATTGTATTAAAAAGGTAAATAAGATAAGCCGTGAGTTGTGGCTCCGCCCTAGCCTGGCTCCTCCTGGGTACCAGAGCCCGAAGGCACATTCAGTCCGCCTTCTCCCGCAGGGGGCGCTGTGGGAATCTCTCGGGCCGCTCTAGACGGCGGAACAGGAAGTCTCGTTCTCCCCCAACTTCCGCTCTCTGGCCCGGGCTAGGGCTGCGTGGATAAGCTTTGGCGATGCCGACTGGAGACTTTGAGTGAGTTGAGGGGTCGCGGAGGGGGACCCGAGGGGGCAATCGGGGAGCTCTGGGGAGCCTTCTGGGGGCTGGCTGCCTCCAGGCCTCTCGAGCCGGCCACGGCTGACTCCGCTCTTTCCCCACAAACTTGCCCCCACAGTTCGAAGCCCAGCTGGGCGGACCAGGTGGAGGAAGAGGTAGAGGACGGTGAGTACGCCCCGGTCGCCCCCAGCCCCTGCCTTCTGCTCCGACCCCTGCTTCGTGGCTCCGCGGTCTGACCGCACGCCCCCCAGCCTCTCGCCGGCTGCTTGTGCTCACAGTGACCGGGCCCGCCCTTCCTCCCATACCTCTGCCTCGGTGCCCAAGCAGATGCCCCCGTGCTGGCGGGCGAGGAGGCACAACAGCCCGTCTCCTACCTCTGTACTAGCTTCAGCGGAGGGGCGCTCTAGCCTGTCCCCTCGCCCCCCACCTTCTTGCGGGGCTCCGTTCTGGCCCAGGGCTCCTTCATCCCTGCCACTGCGTGAGACAGACGCAACCAGCCCCTGCCCCCTGCCTCGCTGCCCGAAGGCACTGAGTGCCCAGTCCCTCCGGTGTGGTTTCAGCCCAAAGATCCCTCACTCTGGCCCCTTCTTCCCGCACCCTCGCGCAGACAAATGCGTCGTCACCAGCGAGCTCCTCAAAGGGATCCCACTGACCCCTGGCGACACCAGCCCAGAGCCCGAGCTGCTGCCCGGAGGTGAGTGCCACCCTCCATCTCGCCCCTGGGTCAGCTCCCTTTGCCCCCCTCCCCCACCGCCTGTCCATTCTGCTCCCCAGTGCCCAGGGCGTGGCTCCCCTCATCCCTCCGCCTCTCTTCCAGCTCCACTGCCCCCTCCTAAGGAGGTCGTCAATGGGAACATCAAGACAGTGACTGAATACAAGATAGATGAGGATGGCAAGAAGTTCAAGGTGAAGCTTGGGGGTAGGGTCTGGTAGTTGGGGTTCTTGGACTGGGATGAGGTAGTATGACGGGGGAGGTTCTTCCAGCCCCAGGAGCCTTGAGTCACAGGAAGCCCACTCTCTACCCTGTGCCCGCAGATCGTCCGTACCTTCAGGATTGAGACCCGGAAGGCCTCAAAGGCTGTCGCCAGGAGGAAGGTGAGACCCTTGGAACTACCTAGGGCCGACCTAGAGGGATTTGGGGTCCCCCCTCCACCACTGCCCTGGTTTCCTGGAGTGGGTTATATTACCCAGCTAACGAAGCAGACGTCAGTCCTGGGGGTGTTGGCACTCCCTTGGGGCCCTGGAAATTTCTAGGATAGGAGTCTGTGGTGGTAGAATTTTATTCCTCTTGGCTTGTCCACTAGCAGGAAAAGAGCCAGGCCCTCCCGGTGAGGTGGTCGGAGCAGGCCCCATTTACTGGGGCCAAGCAGCCCTAGAAGGAGGGCCAGGTACCATCTTCTGAGCATTTACCCCGTGCCATGCTCCATGCTGAGGGCCTTCCATGGGGTGTTTTCTTACTCAGTCCCCATAGCAACCAGTTGAGGGCTCCATTTTATTGAGAGGAAGCTGGAGGCCCAGGGTGTTTAACTGGTTCTGGACTCTTCTCAGTCGGGGGAACCACAGCACCCCTGCTCTGAACCATCCCTGGGCACTGCTTCCCCGTGGGAGTTGGTTTTAGTCCAGTCAACTGGGTGGACCCCAGCAGGACCTGTCAGCTGTGTGGCTCTTTTCCCCTTGTCTCCTCGGTTTTCTCCAAGGGCCTCCCGGAGCTCGTGGGAAGCCAGGGCCTGGCTTGCACTCAAGAAATGGGACCCTTTGCTGTTGCCATTCTCGGGTGCACTTGGGATGGAGAACGGAGCCCGAGGCCCAGAGGCCCCAAGGAGGGGATTGCTTGAGGTCTGGCTGCCAGTGCAGGGGCTCTGACCTCTCTCCCATTCTGCCCTGAGCCAGAATTGGAAGAAGTTTGGGAACTCCGAGTTTGACCCTCCTGGTCCCAACGTGGCCACCACCACAGTCAGCGACGATGTCTCCATGACGTTCATCACCAGCAAGGAGGTAAGTGGGCAGCGGCTTGGGGCCCGTGCCCAGGGTGGCCACAGGGATGCGACAATCCTCCTCTGACCCGCCCCCACCCGCTCCTTCCCTCCAGGACCTGAACTGCCAGGAGGAGGAGGACCCGATGAACAAGCTCAAGGGCCAGAAGATCGTGTCCTGCCGCATCTGCAAAGGCGACCACTGGACCACCCGCTGCCCCTACAAGGACACGCTGGGGCCCATGCAGAAGGAGCTGGCCGAGCAGCTGGGCCTGTCCACTGGCGAGAAGGAGAAGCTGCCTGGAGGTGCTGGGGCTGGGGGTGGTGCTCATCCCCTGGCACCCCAGACTGTGAGGGCCAGGCGGGTGCTGAGGATGAGAACAGCACCTTGGTAGATAGAGGTGGTGAGTCTGTGGGCCCTGCCCCAGAAGGCCCCTGGGCTTGCCAGTGTGGGCTGTGACCGCATGCCTGCACCGGTCTGCATGTGAGAGCCTGGCCCCTCTGGTTCTGGTGACTCTTCCGCCTGTCTTGGCTTGACTGACTGTGTCCTGACCTGCGTGTCCATGTGTGATTTGCTGATGGTGGCCCTGCGTGGACAGGTGCACTTGTCACCGTGTGTGTGTGTGTGACTAGGCACCACGCCCGACCACACTGCCTTTGTGGCTTCCTGCCGTCAGTGTTGTTGGCAGGATGTGTCACTGTGTCTGCGTAATGGATGTGACCTTTCTCACCGCAGCGTGGAGGCCTGTGCCTTCTAGGTGGTCCATGGCTTCGGTGGGGGTGACTGTGGGGAGGAGGGGGTGGCACCGTGCTGCCAGCGCCCCGGGCAGGTTGGTCTGGCCGGTTTGCTTCAGAGGGTGGACTTCCTTGACTGGGGCTTTGATCTCCAGAGTTGGAGCCTGTGCAGGCTGCCCAGAGCAAGACGGGAAAATACGTGCCGCCCAGCCTGAGGGACGGGGCCAGCCGCCGCGGGGAGTCCATGCAGCCCAACCGCAGAGGTGAGGGAACAGGCATAGCGCAGGGGTGAGGGGTGGGTGCCCGATGCTGGCCTGCTGGGCAGGCTCTTCCCAGCACCTCTGATTATGCTGCGGGTAGGACTGGGCGGGGCCTTCCCTGAGAGCTACTTTCTTGGTTCACCCAGCCGACGACAATGCCACCATCCGGGTCACCAACCTGTCCGAGGACACGCGGGAGACCGACCTGCAGGAACTCTTCCGGCCCTTTGGCTCCATCTCCCGCATCTACCTGGCAAAGGACAAGACCACTGGCCAGTCCAAGGTGGGCTGGCGGCCCTGAGAGTGGAGCAGGGAGCAGGCTGTGGGGGGCTGTCCTGCCTTGGCCTGGGACGCAGCTGACTGCCCCTTCTCTCTCCTAGGGCTTTGCCTTCATCAGCTTCCACCGCCGCGAGGATGCTGCCCGCGCTATTGCCGGCGTGTCGGGCTTCGGCTACGACCACCTCATCCTCAACGTCGAGTGGGCCAAGTAAGCACCCCCCTCCCACTCCGTTCCCCTGCTTTCCCCTGGCACCCAGTCTCCAGGGCTGCGGAGGACGTCCAGCCAGGCCGGACTAGTCAGCACGCCTCCTTGTGGCGAGGCTGCTCGTTGGCATCGGGTCTCAGGGCCCGGCTCCACCATGCGAAGGGGATCTCAGGCGATCTCCCTGCCCTCTGTATAATTTCTTCTCTCCCCTTCCAGGCCGTCAACCAACTAAGCCAGCTGCCACCGCAGCTCGGGCTCAAGCCCCGTTTCCAGCGCCCGCGGCGGCGGCAGGAGGCCCCGAAGACAATAAAGAGGCTTGCACCCTGCTCTCTCAAGTTCTTTATTGTCTGCCGCCACCATGCGTGTGGGCCAGACCCCTCCTCCGCTCTGCGAAGCTCAGGCCCCGAGCCTCGGTGCCTGCCTCAGGACACTCGCTGCTGTGCCCTGAATTCCAGTCTGGTGCAGGCCTTGCATCATGGGGGTGGGTGGGGGTGGCTTGTTCTGTTCTCCAGGCCAATCAGGAGGTCACCTCAGAGGACCCCAACCCTGGGGGATGGTGGGAGGTAGGGGAAGTGGCTGTGTCATTGAGGGGCAGGGCTTTGCTGGAACTCTTGGGGGCCTGCCCCGCCTGGCAGCATGGGCGGCAGCAGCCCAAGCTGGGCACCGCCGCCATGTAGAGCAGCGGGTGCACGCAGATGGCCAGGGGCACAAAGACACGCATGATCTGGTAGGCGGTGTAGAGGCCCCGGTCCAGCGCTGCAATGGCCTGGGCCTCAGTCACAAAGTCAGGGCATTGGGCCCTCCAGCGCCGCCGGGCACGCACGTTGAGCACATGCATGATGTGGTAGGGCACGTAGGAGCTGGCGTAGAGGACCACACCGCTGGCCACCAGCGCCACGACGTGCAGCTTCTCGGCCCTGCTCATGCCATGACTGCGCAGCACAGCGCGGCCCAGCATGCCGTAGGCCACCAGGGTGAGCAGTAGGGGCAGTCCGCAGCCCAGGCCGGCCAGCACCAGGCTGTAGACCCAGTAGGCTCCCAGCTGGCTGTCAACCGCTGTGCCCAGACACTTGACACAGACCTGGATGCCCTTGGTACAGTTGCCTGTCGTCAGGCGGGAGAAGCTGAGCGTGGGCGCGGCGAGCACGGCCGCCAGGCCCCAGCCTATGGCGCTGACTGCCCAGGCGTGCTTGGGCCGCAGGTGGCTGCGGGTGAAGAAGGGGTGGACGATGCCCAGGTAGCGGTTGAGGCTGATGCAGGTGATGAAGACCATGCTGCCCAGCAAGTTGCAGGTGAAGAGGAAGCGCTCCGCGTAGCACAGGACTGCCCCGAAGCGCCAGTGCTTGGGTGGGTAGAAGTAGTCAGCCAGTGGTGGCAGCGTCAGGGCGTACAGCAGGTCACTGATGGCCAGCTGTGCGGAGAAGACCACGGCTGGGGACCAGGGCCGCTGCTCCCGGGTGCTGAAGCGGTACAGGGCCAGCCCGTTGCCGGTCACGGCCACCAGGAACTCAGCCACCAAGAAGGACCACAAAAAGCCCTCTTGGATGCTGTTGAGGACTTGCTCTGCTGCCACCAATAAGGGCTCTGGGCAGGGCTGCCGACCTGTGGGCACAGGGTGTGGTCTGCGAGTGGGCAGCCCCACATCCGCAGCAGTGCCAGGGCTTGAGCACCCTGTCCCCTTTATCTTGTCCCTCGGTGAGTGGGGATGGGAGGTGGTGCCGCTGTACTTGTGGAAAGCACCCAGTCCGGCAGCGCTGCGGGTTCTGCTCAGGATGTGGCCCCTCACACCCCCACATTGCTGGTCCCTGTAGGCACCGGCTTCAGGAGCCCTGTCCTGCTCAGCACCACATGACAGTCAACTAGGGCCAGTCACCGTCATGCCTAGGCCCGCTCCCCACGCCCACTTCCTTCTCCCTGTGGGCCCTGCAACTAATGGTCGTTCCCACCATCTCCTCAGGGCCCCCCACCCCCACCTGCCTGCCCTCACCAACCCTGGAACCTACTGGTCACCCAGACTGTGAGGGCCAGGCGGGTGCTGAGGATGAGAACAGCACCTTGGTAGATAGAGGTGGTGAGTCTGTGGGCCCTGCCCCAGAAGGCCCCTGGGCTTGCCAGTGTGGGCTGTGACCGCATGCCTGCACCGGTCTGCATGTGAGAGCCTGGCCCC